TTTTTCATTTTTGGGTGAACTAACCCTTTAATAGATGTAGACAAAGTCGCGTTGTTATCAATGGAATTTACAAAATTTAACAATTCCATTTTTTTTTCTTACTAGCCGTCTACAGAGCAATGTGGAAGGAAAATACTTAATGGATGGAGTTCCCTTCAGCTGCTGCAACGTCAATTCTCCTCAGCCATGCATTCAGTACCAAATCACCAATAAATCCGCCCACTATAATTACGACTACCAGACAGAGGAGCTCAACCTGTGGATGAGAGGATGTCATCAGGCTCTGCTAGATTATTACACCAACATCGTGCATTCTATCGGCCTCACGGTTCTGATCATCTGGCTCTTTGAGGATGGTTGTGTCTATTGCTTTGGCAATATGCTAGGGAAGTATTGAATATATAGTCAATCCTATTCAATACTCTCATATTCGGCCGTCAAATGGATCCACCTAGCAATTCAAATTTTTTTTGCATCGCAATACCCTTTTTAATGGGTACTCTATTCATTGCCATTTTACGAAACCTATAAATTCAGTTAATGGTATATGATGTCGTAAACGTAAATATGACCATGGATGTCTTAAATTATGTTACATATAATGGTAAATTAGTTCCTTAACTACTCAGCACACTAACACACTTCTTACTAACACATAGTAATCAAATGAGTGTTCCTGATACAATTAAGGTGCAAAATTTCTGCAAAATTTTGTAGGCAAAAAGATCCATTGTCAAGTGTAGCAATACATCAAGCATTACTCACAAATAAGTTATTTTGAAAAGCAAGCAGCTTTCTGATGGCCAATGTAACCAGTTCATGTAACAAGCTTGAGAAAAATCTAAGTGTGAAATCTGTGTGCAAAATCTTTTGCCCACTTGAGAAATTCCTGCTTGTGTAGATTACTATTGAAATGACTGGATTTCACCTGGAAAATGTTGTTGAACAATGATCGCACCTTTACAAAAATCTGGATTGTGATGACACCAGTCCTTAATTTATCAAATTTGTTTGGCTTAGCAGTGTTCCACAAGTGCTGATAGTTGAACAGCACTGGTAGGTGGTTAGAAGCGACCTTCTTTATGAGTGAGCCATTGAATTATTCACTCAAACCATTTGAATGCACGGGGTTCTTTCTACTTTGACTTTGTTTCGAACCATATTCATTGGTGGAACAAAAACAGACTATTCCTAAAATTCAAGTTACTTCTGTTTTATAAAGTAATTGCATTCATGCCATGGAGGAATGATTCCAACTTGGAAAAAGCATTCACGCCCTAATAAGGCCAATTCACACTGCACTGATAGACGCAGACAAACAGCAACAGACACTTGTTTTGTCTGATTAGTGTGTTACCCCTGTCAGCATCTGTTGGCGTTAGTCGGTGCTTGTTTTTGCCAAATGAACATGTTGAATCAATGTTTGTCGGGTCTTGGAGCATCTGAGAAGTGGCTTACTGTACTCGATTGGCTGTTGCCGTTTGGTCTGCGTCTGTTTGTGTGTTGTGAATTGGCCGAACTTACATAAAGACTCAAAATGACAATGGCTTCAGCGATAAAATGTAGTTAAGTAGTTACTTCGGAATATTTAAGTTTAGTACTTTCTGTGATTGGCTACTGTTATGTCTTAATAATGATCGCTGAAAATAAAGACGTGTATATTAATTACGGAAAATACACAAATTAATTTTGCTGTTAATAGCGTTGCCATTGAAACACATAATTCCGAGTTCAAGGACGTCAACAACT